AAACTACATTGAGATACCATCTCACACCAGTTACAATGGCGATGATTAAAAAATCTGGAGACAACAGATGCTGGAGAAGATGTGGAGAAACAGGAACACTTTTACACTGTTGGTGGGAATGTAAATTAGTTCAACCATTGTGGAAGACAAGTGCGGCAATTCCTCAAGGACCTAAAAATATAAATTCCATTTGACCCAGCAATCCCATTACTGGGTATATATCCAAAGGATCATAAATCGTTCTACTACAAGGACACATGCACACAAATTCTCACTGCAGCACTGTTTTACAATAGCAAAGACTTGGAACCAACCCAAATGCCCATTGATGATAGACTGGACAGGGAAAATGTGGCACATATACACCATGGAATACTATGCAGTCATAAAAAACAATGAGTTCGTGTCCTTTGTAGGGACATGGATGAACCTGGAAACCATCATTCTCAGCAAACTGACACAACAACAGAAAATCAAACACCGCCTGTTCTCACTCATAGGTGGGTGTTGAAAAAATGAGAACACATGGACACAGGGAGGGGAGCATCATACACTGGGGTCTGTCAGGGGGAAACAAGGGAGGGACAGTGGGGTGTGGGGAGTTGGGGAGAGATAGCATGGGGAGAAATGCCAGATATAAGTGATGGGGAGGAAGGCAGCAAATCACACTGCCATGTGTGTACCTATGCAACAATTTTGCATGTTCTTCACATGTACCCCAAAACCTAAAATGCAATAAAATAAAATAAAATTTAAGAAAAGGCTTCGTGCAGTGGCTCACACCTGCAATCCCAGCACTTTGGGAGGCTGAGGTGGGCAGATCATCTGAGGTAAGGAGTTCGAGACCAGCCTGATCGACATGGAGAAACCCTGTCTTTATTAAAAATACAAAATTTAGCTGGGCATGGTGGTGCATGCCTATAATCCCAGCTACTTGGGAAGCTAAGGCAGGAGCATTGCTTGAACCCGGGGGTTGCGGTAAGCCGAGATCACGCCACTTTGCTCCAGACTGGGCAACAAGAGCAAAACACCATCTCAAAAAAAAAAAACTTAGCCGGGCATGGTGGCATGAACCTGTAATCCCAGCTACCTCGGAGGCTGAGGCAGGAGGATTGCTTGAATCAGGGAGGCGGAGGTTGCAGTGAGTTAGGATTGTGCAACTGCACTCCTCCAGTCTGGGTCTGAGCAACAGTGTGAGACTTCGTCTCAAAAAAAAAAAAAAAAAAGTAACTCAAAGAAAGACTATGCAAGAAAATAAAACACAATTTAAAAAAACAGAAAACAATCCCTACAATAATTTTTTGAAAATGCTAATAAAGTTCACAAACACCTGGCAAATCCAATAAAGGGAAGGAAAAAAGATGGAAAAGGGGCTGTGCCACGGTGGCTCACACCTGTAATCTCAGCAGTCTGAAAGGCCAAGATGGGTGGATCTCTTGACCCCAGGAGTTCAAGACCAGCATGCGCAATATGGCAAAACCCCATCTCTACAAAAAATACAAAAATTAGCCCGGCACGTAGTTGTAGTTTCAGCTACTTGAGAGGCTGAAGTGGGAGAACCACTTGCGCCCAGGATGCAGAGGCTGTAGTGAGTCGAGATCATACCATTGCACTCCAGCTGGGGTGACAGAGCCGGATCCAGATCCTATCTCAAAAATAACAACAACAAAAAGAAAATAGATGGAAAGGTAAAAAAGGAAATGCTACAAGAAGCAAAAAAAGGAAGGAGTGTATATTTAGCGCAACGTGAATCTATGCTTCTAGGCTAAAAAAAATCATTTTAAATAGATTTTTTTAAAAAAAAGAACAAAAGGCCAGGAGTGGTTGGCTCATGCCTGTAATCCCCATACTTTGGGAGGCCAAGGCAGGAAGACTGCTTGAGCCCAGGAGTTTAAGCTTAGTCTGGCCAATACAGTGAGACTCCATCTCTATAAAAAATATCAAAATACAGCAGGCCTTGGTGGCACATGCCTGTAGCCCCAGCTACTTGGGCGGCTGGGGTGGAAGGATCACTTGACCCCAGGAGGCACAGCAATAGTTCTCACAGTGTGGTCCAGGGACTCTGGGGTTCCATGCATTCAAGTCTATGTTCACAACACTAAGAGGACACATTAGAAGCACTTGTAGTAGAGTCAGAGATAAGAGAGGAATGCTCCCTTTCCCTGCTGCTATTCAAGATCCTAGCCAACACAATAAGTCACAGAAAAAGAAATACAAGCTATAAGGATCAGAAGAAAAAGACAAAATTGTCATTCTTTGAGAATGATAAAAATATTTTACACAAAATCCAAGAGTATCAATCCACTGTTGGGATGACAGTGTTCAACAGCATTGCCATATACAAGGTCACTACAGAATACTACTACTCCTATTTGTTAGCAATCAGCAACCGAAAACTGACCATTCACAATAGCTACAAAAACTATACAGTACATTAAAAGTCTTAAAAGGGCCGGGCGTGGTGGCTCAAGCCTGTAATCCCAGCACTGTGGGAGGCCGAGGCGGTTGGATCACGAGGTCGAGAGATCGAGACCATCCTGGTCAACATGGTGAAACCCCGTCTCTAATAAAAATACAAAAATTAGCTGGGCATGGTGGCGCCTGCCTGTAATCTCAGCTACTCAGGAGGCTGAGGCAGGAGAATTGCCTGAACCCAGGAGGCGAAGGTTGCAGTGAGCCGAGATCGCGCCATTGCACTCCAGCCTGGGTAACAAGAGCGAAACTCCGTCTCAAAAAAAAAAAAGTCTTAAAAAAAGGTATGTATGTAATAGACATTATAAAACTATTGAAAGGCCTTAGAAAGGTCTATGGAGAAACAGACAACATTTCTAAATAGGACGCTCAATAACATAAAGATGTCAATTCTCCCCAAGTTAATTTATTCTGTAAAATTATAATAAACACTTCAACAGGACATGACATATGACCAAAATGACTCCAAATATCACATGAAATAGTAATGATCTAAGATTAGCCAAAGGAGGCAAGGGTGTGCCCTACTAGGTATCAAGATTTAGGCTATGGTAATGGAAAGTGAAGTTTAATTATAAGAAGAAAGATAATGGCTGGGCGGTGGCTCAAGCCTGTAATCCCAGCACTTTGGGAGGCCGAGGCGGGTGGATCATGAGGTCAAGAGATTGAGACCATCCTGGTCAACAAGGTGAAACCCCGTCTCTACTAAAAATACAAAAAATTAGCTGGGCATATGGCACGTGCCTGTAATCCCAGCTACTCAGGAGGCAGAGGCAGGAGAATTGCCTGAACCCAGGAGGCGGAGGTTGCAGTGAGCCAAGATCGCGCCGTTGCACTCCAGCCTGGGTAACAAGAGCGAAACTCTGTCTCGAAAAAAAAAGAAGAAGAAAGATAATGGAAGACATCTATGCATATGTTAAGATACCTGCAATATTAACGACAATGAAGAAGGACAGTAAGTGGTATTAACAAAACTGGTTTTCCATTGGAAAACAAAATTATTTCCCTGCCTTCTATGATACACAAATATATTTCAGGCAGGTTGAAGACCTAAATGTTAAAAAAAAAAAAAAAAAAAAGTCTCAGAGTCACGTCAGAATTATTGAATTTAAAATTTCTAAAAAAAAGAAAGTTTATAAAGAAAAAGATTGATTCCATCAAAAAGGAAAAAAGGCCAGGTATGGTGGCTCATGCCTGTAATCTAAGCGCTTTGGGAGGCCAAGATGGGCAGACTGCTTGAGCTCAGAAGTAGGAAACCAGCCTAGGTAACATGGTGAAATCCCAGCTCTATACGAATTAGCCAGACATGGTGGTGTGGGCCTGTAGTCCAGGGAAAATCTCAGTCGGCTACGGTAGGAAGATTGTTTGAGAGTGGGAGACTCTTGCTGATGCACACAAGAAGAAACACAAGAATGTTACCATGTGCCTGGGTATAGAAGAAAAAACTTTGTCGTCCATCGGCAAAGTCACAGTGGTGGAAAGTAATGAACCACATCAATGTCATGGAGATAGAACACAGTTATGAGGCTGAGAAAAACTGTCAGATATAGAATATCCACAATATAAGACATAAATACATTTTAAAGAGACGAAAACAATATTAGGTATGCAGAGATATAAGAAAACGAGGCCGAGCACAGTGGCTCACGCCTGTAATCCCAGCACTTTGAGAGGCCGAGGAGGGCGGATCACTTGATGTCCGGAGTTTGAGACCAGCCTGGCCAAATGGTTAAACCCTGCATCTACTAAAAATACAATAATTGGCCTAGTGTGGTGGCACGCGCCTGTAATCCCAGCTACTCGGGAGGTCGAGAAGAATCGCTTGAACCCGGGAGGTGGAGGTTGCATTGAGCTGAGATCGCGCCATTGTACTACATCCTGGGCGACAGAGCGAGACTAGGTCTCAGGGAAAAAAAAGAGAGAGAAAAGAAAAAAAAGAAAGGAAGACGAGGAAAGGAAAGGAAAAGAAGGAAAAAATGAGAAACAAAAATCTGGCTGCCTGGCACAGGGAGAAAAGCACTGGCGCGCCAGAAGCGAGGAGGCTGGGGTTGAGGGAAGCACAGGCAGAGGGAGGAGCACTGGAGGAGCTCGGCGGCTCAAGGAAGGGGCGGCAGCGGTAGACCGCTGGGAGGACCGAGAGACGCGCGAGCCCCGCCCCTGAAAAGTTGACAGGAGAGGGGCGTGGGAGGGAGCCGAGCTGGGAGGCCTCGGGCCGCTGGGAGGAAGGGGTTCGGAGCGCCCTGGGACACGGAAGCCGCCCTGTGCGGCCGGAGTCCAGGCGGCCCCGCGTGGGGCTGGGAGCTGTGAGGGGCTGGAGAGCTGAAGGAGCTCCGTGAGGAGCGACCCCGGGGCTGGGGAAGGGCGGCGAGGCGCAGTCCGTGCTCGGGGCCTTGTCCGGGGGTTCCTGAAACAGGAAGTTCCACTGATGGCGGGACCGACCCCGGCCTGGAGCACCGCGAGAAGATCGGGCACTGGGCAGCGCGCAGGGGAGGGTCTGCGCCCTGCACCCCCGCCGGGCTCACACTCACCTCACCGCCGCCGAGCAGCTCGGCAGCCCAACCTGGCCCGTTCGGCCCTCCCGCCCCGCCAATCGGAACCGACCCGGAAGTGACGTCAGCCGACCGTCTGGGTCTGAGGGGCCGTCAGGGCCGCTCTGGGAAGCTAGGACTCAACGTCTCGGCTGCACGTCTTCCTGACTCGCTGTAAGTCTCCGGGGACCCACGAAAGGCGAAGGCATAAAGCGGAAACGCTGCCGCCGGGTGGCAGTCCGAGGCCACGGCCGGGCGGCCTCAGAACTGGGGCGATGGTCAAAGTTGAAAACAGGTTAGTTTTTCCTTTTTCTGAGACATGTCTCTCTGAGGCACGAAAGGCGCCGCAAACTGGGCCCATTCCTTTACAGAGAAAGGAACGGGAACTGCACCCTTCCTTTGGGCCGAGAGGATGCTTACTGGCCAAAGAAGCTGTCTTGGGTTTAGCCCATTGCCCCTCATCCTAACCCCTGTAAATGGGGCCCCGTGTCCACTGTAGAGTTTTTCGGGTGCCTGAGTTGCTTCTGGAGCAAGCTTGCCCTGATTGATGGCCGGTCCCTCAGCCAAGGCCTGCATCCACTTTGCCCAGAAGGGAGCAGAAAAGCAGTGGCCGCTTACGGCCAAGGTAAGCATCTAGGGCTTTCCCTACACCCTCTTTCCAGATGCCCCTCCATCCTTCAGGAGGAAACACCGCCCTGCTGGATTCTTACTTGACATATAACTTGGGACCCTGGGGCCGGCCCTGCGAATGACAGGATCAAAACCAGGTGCCTTAGCTACTGGCGGGGGCAGGGAAAGCTGAAATGGAAGGACCACATGAGACCACGGGCTTGAGACCAGCCTGGCAACAGCAAGAGCCTGTGTAAAGCCCAGCTTGTTGGGCGTGGTGGGCACCCAAAGGCAGGTGGGGCCGTACCAGCAGGATGAGGAAAGCAAGATCGTGAAATGGGGGGGAAAGGTTCACTCCAGAGACAGTGGTGAACTATGACAGCCAGGAGCCACCGCGAAGCCAATGAGGACTTGTCATCCAGAAGTGACCGACACAAACCTAAGATGTCCTGTTTTCACCTGCCTCTGCAACCAAGTCTACAGGGAGAGCACCATGCCTCATCCTGCCCACTCCAGTTCGTTCCGGAGGAGTGTTGTTAGGGGCAGTGATCTGCAGCTCCTGCATTCGGTGGTGGAACTTTCTTGTGTGAAAGTGCTGTCTTCCACCTGATGCTGTCCTGGGAACCCCTCATTCGGTCATGGTTAAGGGAAAAGATGCCATGGGCTATGGCCAAACAGGAAGCCCTTCTACTCTGCCCTGTGATGGAAACCAGTTTACTCACCCTTCCACTGCATGGGGGCTTCCCTGATACTTCCAGCCTGATTCCACTCAGAATCACCGCCTTGGCCTCACTTGTCACTAACAAAGCTAGATGGAAGGAATGCACTCTAATACCAGCAGGGAAAGGGGATGTGCTCAGAACAAGGTGATCAGTGCAGGTTTGGGGGCTGTTCCTGGTGATTTCTCTGTCCCAGGGAAGAGGGGGGCAACATGCCCTGCGAAGCTGTGGCATTCCAGGATCAAGGAGCCAACTGTCCTACAGCTGATGCCAGCTCCAGTGCAGTGTAGGGCTCTAGGTAGGTGGGTGAATGGACTCTCAGGTGGTCTGGGATACCCATACACACACTGCACGCATTCACCCCTTTGTTCAGCAATCACAGCAGGGACCTGGGACCCCACACTGAGAATCACCACCTTCAACCTCACCTGTCACTATCAGGCTGGAAAATGAGGGAAGGCATGAAGCCCCACTCAGGAAAAAAATACCCTTAACTCTCCAGTCAGTAACCACTCCCCACCATGGCAGGGTGAGAATGCATGCAGGGTGCTCCCAGTGGTCTGCAGAACAGTGAAAGGCTGGGCTAGGAATGGCCTTCGTGGATGTGGACAGGGTGTCCGTCCCATGTTCCTCTAGGGCCCATCCCAAGTTCTCCGTGCTAAGATACCTGCAAGGCAGGTATCCCCAGCAGTGACTTTGCAAAAACATACTGACATTAGCAGGGCTGTACCCAGTTTGGAGGGGAAGGGTGTGGCCAAAGGACCTACATTAGATGCTGGCAGAGGGTGTGGTCCAGAATACTAGGTTCACAATTGTGTCCTATTCTGTTTCCCATTTCTCAGTTTCTTCCTATGTGCAATGAGCGCTTACATCCAAGCACTGCAGTCCATGGGACTGAGTCACCCACCTAAGTGTCAGGTTCCAGGAGCCACGTTCTTAGTCCCCTCTGTGAGGAGGCAAGGGTCTTGCCCAGGGTACCTGTACCTTGTTTCTAGTTTTAGACTTTCCCTTCTAAGTTTCTGCCACTCAGTGGTGGTCTACTCCAGTAGTCTGCCTTGCTCCCTGTACTAACCAGAGAAATCCCACAGAAATCCTATCAGCAGAGTTCCCTCCCGTTGAAACCATGGGGGTGGCACAGCCTGGTGGCATAAAGACAAGCTTTATTGAGCCCCTCAGCACTAGTTCTCTTTCTCCTGTACAGTCTTGGTTCCCCGGAGACGTCCAGTCCGACGGGCAGCAATGAGACCCACTTTGCGGCCAGCAGGGGCATCTCTGCGGATGGTGGAGGGCTTGCCGATGTGCTGGTGGTTGCCACCACCAAAAGGATGCTCCACAGGCTGCAGGCAGAGGATGGCTTTAGAATGAAGGTGAGCCAACCTCCTTCAGGAGGACTTGAGCAGGATCAACAGTCCTGTGACTACAAACCATAACCCACTGTGCCTCCCACTGCAGATCTCCCTCCTGCAGGGACACCTGTGGATGCAACTTGTCTACTCAACTGTGTGGCCACTGTACCCTGAATACTCAATCCTGCATTTCTGGGTTACTTACATTCATGGCCACACCCCGTACTCGTGGCCAGCAGTTCCTCTTTGCCTTGTATTTGTGGTAGGCCCGGCCAGCCTTCAAGATGGGTTTGTCAATTCGGCCACCTCCAGCCACCACACCTGTAGGGGAGATCAGGTACCTCAGGGAACCTCCAATCAGTCAGAGAACCCCCTGCCAGGTCCTTTCCAGCATCCCCACCTCCCCTCAATCTCCTGTCACGCACCTTTACAATACTGCATCCAACTACCAAGCAAAAAGCCCACTCGTCTCCATAGCCCCTTGCACCTTGTGAGCTGACATCCAGATTCTTCAATCCACTTTGGGCAGGCAAGCAAAGCTTCACCTATATCACCTAGAACACTGGCTGATCTCCAAGCACAGGGAAGCACCCCTCTCACCATGATGTTTAAGACACCAGGCAGGTCACTCAACCTGACACAGGACACTTGATCCGGCCTGTTCCATCTCAGCTTTGCTCATTTTTGGAACACACCCTCCAAGCCTCCCATGTGACGCTGAATTCATCACAAAGATTCTGAGGTGTTCCCCCAAATTGGAGTGAGACTCAAATCCTTTTTCACTTACTCAGTAGGTGTCTTTGAGAAAGTCATAAATCTCTCCCTGCCTTCTCTGAAAAGGCTGTTAACCAACTGTATGCCAGTACAGCAGTGAGGAAGCCTAGGTTATGCCAGAGTTGAATTCAAGCCCCAGGTGACTTAATCCCAATCTCATTCAACTCCACAATAGCAGTAAAGCAGGTACTGTTGTGCCAACTTTAGTTATGATAACTGAGACTACAGGATGAGCTCAAACTTACAAAACCCAAGTTTTAGAACAATGGATAATCGAATTCCAGCGACCAGGTCTAGTCACTGGCTGTCCACAGGCGCTCGGTCTGTTCATTCACAGCCCTCGGCATCCAACTGCTGCCTGGTACTCACCAACCACAGCTCTGTTGGCTGAGGAGATAACCTTCTTGGAGCCAGAGGGCAACTTCACACGGGTCTTCTTGGTCTCAGGGTTGTGGGAGATAACGGTGGCATAGTTCCCTGATGCCCGGGCCAGCTTGCCGCGGTCTCCAGGCTTCTCCTCCAGGCAACACACGATCGTACCCTCAGGCATGGTGCCCACGGGGAGCACATTGCCAATGTTGAGCTGGGCTGCAAGGGGAAGCAGCATCAGGTCAGCGGAGTAGGAGGCAATGCGAACCCACTCGCTCTAGGCAGCCCGCTAAGTTGCAAGCACAGCATTCACCATCTAGCCTCCCGGTACAGCTCTGGGCCCCCACCAGGTGCAGGCCGCGCGGCCTGAAGCTCTTGCTTGGGAGGTTCCTACACAGGCTTAGGGCTTTAACTCCTCAAACCCCAACTTTCGTTCCCACCCCGACCTTCCTTCCCGGCCGCGATGCTAACCCTTCTTGCCACAGTACACAAACTGGCCCGTATGAATGCCCTCGGCGGCAATGAACAGCTCCGTCCGCTTCTTAAACCGGTACGGATCCCGGAAGACCACCTTGGCGAGGGGCGCGCCGCGGCCCGGGTCGTGGATGATGTCCTGTGGGCCGAGGCGGCGTGAGTGTGGCGTCGCGGCCGGGTGTCCCGTCCCCTCCCGCCCCGCCCTGGCCGGCGCTCCGCACCTTCACGATGCCCTTGATGTAGCCGTGCCGCTCGGCGAAATCCACGGCGCGCAGGCGCGCGGCGCCCTTACGGTGCTTCACGTGCGCGCGGAACACAGACCCGGCACCCTTCCTCTGTCCACGGATCACGCGGCCCATGGCGACGGGTCCTGAGGGCGGCTCAGTTAGAGTGGCCGGGAGGCCCGAGCACCCCTGCCAGCCCGGCTTTCCGGGACCCCGCCCCCGAGGCTGCCGCGCCCACCACCCGCTGCCCTCTCCGCGGGCGCGCGTGTTGGCATCCTCCCAAGAACACCGGCCTGCGTCTCCGCGCCCCTCAGGGAGGAGGATGGCGGCGGATAGTGCTGATGCCGCAGGGCCGCGAGCACAACCTACCTGCTCACGAGCGTGGCCGAAAGAGGAAACACGGCGTTCGCGAGCCGCCTTATCTTCCGGGGCGGGGCCCAGAGCCGCGACACCTTCCGGGCGCGCCACGGCCAGCCGAGCGCGGTGCACGCCGGGGCTTGTAGTCACCAGCGGCCACAGGCCCCGCCTATTTCGCCGCCTGGGCCGCCTACCAGGAGCAACGCGGAGTCCTGGTGCGCTCGGGCCGAGAAGGAGGGCAAAGCAATGCTAGGTCTTCATAGGGTTCTGTAGAAGGACAAGTATTCTCTGAGTGGCCGAGGAGGCGCCGAGTGGTTGAGCGACCCACTCCGGGCTACGGGGTCTGGGGTTCCCAGTTTTGCCTGGTGAGGGGCTTCCGTGTAGGCTGACGGGGGTTCTTGCTGGCGCAGATCAGGAGATGGGCAGGGGAGACGCGCGGACCCACTTGTGGAACGTCGTGGTTTGCAGGTGGCAAATGTCCGTCTCCCTGATGAACGGGTGCTCCTGGACGCGGGGACCTTGTCCACTGTAGGCCCTTGGAGAGGTCGGACGTCGAGGAGTCTCGGGATCCTTGCCAAAAGTGGGGAGGCCAAGCTGTGGGGTCCCAAGGGCGAGGGAGAAGGGGCGGGACTGGGTCACCTGCTGCGGAGAGGACGGATATTGGGAGACTGGACCATACCCTGAACAGAACTCTGTGCGGGAGAAGTGGCTGGAGGGGCTGTGGGGGCCTCCACAGCTGGAAGGAGCCTGGCTGGAGGTGTCCAGCGGCAAATGTAGAGAGGAGCTTCGCAGAATCGGGTCCCTAACGGGCGAGACCCCGAGGCCGGGGGCGGGGAAGAGGTTGTTCAGGAGAGTCCTTGGCTGAGTGAGCACTGTTGAGCACAGACGGGGCCGTGGATCGAGAGGTCGTAAGGAGGTGAGGGCAGGGGCCCAGTGGGCAGGAGAACGAGACAGGAGAGGGTGGACGGAGTGTCCTGTCGCCGCTGCTGCTCACAGAGGAGAGGAGGGGCTACTACAGGAGGCCCTCCCTAGGGTGGGCAGGGGGATCGAGGAGGAGCTAGCTGCCAGATGAGGACTGAGGAAGCAGCTCAGCCCACGGCAGGGCGAGGGGCTGAGGGGCAGGACTGGACTTCAGCGGTAGGGTGAGGGGTCCTGGGGAAAACTGGCCCACAGGCTCAGCCCGTGCCTCGCTCCTGATCAAATCTGCTTCTACTCCAGAGGAGCAGGAGAGTTGGGTGTGGGATAGAGGTGAGAAGAGTGCTCGGACAGAGGCTGTCTCATGGGTCTCTGTGATGAGATGCAGCTACCAGGACCCTAGGTGCAGCCAGGAAGCTGACCAGGCCACTCTAAGGCTCCAAGAGACATGGCCCTGCCAGCATCCACCCCAGTCCTGAGGACTATATGACTGGGCTTTATTCTTCACGTGAGGCCACCCAGCCTAGCACACAGCAAGGCTCTGCAGTTCTGGGTCACTTGACAGCCACTCCAGGCAACGCAGCAAGCACTGGACATGGGGTTTTCCAACCTTCCGGGGTGGAGCCATCTTTCTTGGGCCAGGATTAGGCCCTCCCCCACACAGTGCCTCTGCTTGTTCTGGAGGCCTGGCCTCTTGGGCCATCTGAAGTCACCAATAACCTGCTTTTCAAACTTTTTTCCTAGAAATTCTTTATTTCCTCAAGCCTGTAATCCCAGCACTTTGGGAGGCCGAGGCGGGTGGATCGCGAGGTCAAGATGATATGGAGACCGTCCTGGTCAACATGGTGAAACCCCGTCTCTACTAAAAATACAAAAAATTAGGGCTGGGCGCGGTGGCTCACGCCTATAATCCCAGCACTTTGGGAGGCCGAGATGGGTGGGTCACGAGGTCAAGAGATCGAGACCATCCTGGTCAATGTGGTGAAACCCCATCTGTACTAAAAATACAAAAATTAGCTGGACATGGTGGTGCCCGCCTGTAGTCCCAGCTACTCGGGAGGCTGAGGCAGGAGAATTGCTTGAACCCAGGAGACAGAGGTTGCAGTGAGCCGAGATCGCGCCATTGCACTCTAGCCTGGGTAACAAGAGCAAAACTACATCTCAAAAAAAAAAAAAAAAATTAGATTAGCTGGGCATGGTGGTGCATGCCTTAATCCCAGCTACTCAGAAGGCTGAGGTAGGAGAATTGCCTGAACCCAGGAGGCGGAGGTTGCGGTGAGCTGAGATTGTGCCATTGCACTTCAGCCTGGGTAACAAGAACAAAACTCCATCCCAAAAAAAAAAAAAAAGAAATTCTTTATTTCCTTTTGAAATTGTTCTTCAAATATTTCTTGTCACATACATGCAGGAGTAATTTGGTATAAACATGAAAAACTGTGATCCCCTGTCTGGCTCAGCTTGGCTCCCCTCCCCGACCAGCATTATCTGCCTGCACCCCCAACCCCCACAACTGATGTGTCCTTCTCTGCCTGCCCCACCAGGAAGAAAAATGATGGTTCCTGGTCTGTCTTGTGCTCAAATCTGACCCTGCTCCCAACCAGCTATAGCTCTGGATGAGTCCTTTACCTTCTTTAGGCCTCATAGCTTCTCCCAGGGTCGGGTTGCAATTCAGAGGATCTGAAAACCTAGAGTTTGTGAAACCGTCTATATAGAGGTGAGTGGACATTTTTCAGCACACACAGTTTCTTGAACTGTTTCTCCCACTTGCATGATGGTTTCACAACACAGTTTAGTGGCTAAAGAATATGTGACTTGAAAAAAATTATTCAATTAAAAAAAAAAAAGAAAGAAAAGTGTGATTTGGAGCCAGGTCTGTGAGTTGGATCCCAGCTCTGTTAATTCAGAGATGAGACCTTGACCAGACGCAGTGGCTCACGCCTGGAATCCTAAAGTGCTGGGGTTACAGATGGGCGGATCACCTGAGGTCAGGTGTTCGAGACCAGCCTGACCATGGAGAAACCCCATCTCTAGCTTGAGATCTGAGGCAAGAGATCGAACCATTGTACTCCAGCCTGGGCAACAAGAGCAAAATGCCGTCTAAAAAAAAAAAAAAAAAAAGGAAAGGAGACCTTGGTAAATAACAGGGACACTATGCTCGCCTCATTTTAGTATGGGAACAGTAGTATTTGATAGGATTATCATGAATTAAATTAGTAAATACAAAGGGCATACAAATGTGTTTACAAAAATCACAGGGCTGTTAGAAGTCACAGAATGGCCACGCTTGGGTTCAGACAGGAGAGGTGGTCTGAGAGTGATCAGAGGGAGCAGCAGAGACATGTCAAGATTCCAGAAACTGGCCGGGTGAGGTGGCTCACGCCTGTAATCCCAGCACTTTGGGAGGCAGAGGAGGTGGATCACCGAGGTCAGGAGTTCAAGACCAGCCTGGCCAACAGGGTGAAACCCCGTCTCTACTAAAAACAAAAATTAGCCGGCGTGGTGGCGGGCGCCTGTAATCCCAGCTACTCGGGAGGATTGCTTGAATCGAGATCAACCACTGCACTCCAGCCTGGGCGACAGAGCGAGACTCCATCTGAAAAAAAAAAAAAAAAAAAATGTCATGCCAAACAATGTCATACATTTATATAAGAGACCCGCCCCGGCCGATGCCCCCGTCCCGCCGTTCCTGCGGGTCCAGGAGTCAATCCTGCGCCCTGCTCCCCAACGCCCGCAGCCCACCCAGGTCCGGGGGGAAACGGAGCGCCGAGAACGCCTCCGCTCTTCCGCGCCCCTCAGGCCGGGGCTGAGACCCAGTCTCGCCCGGTATCCCCCACGCGCGCCCCCAGCTGCAGCCCGGGCGACCGCCGAGCGGCAGAAACTAGAAGGCGTCTAAACTCGAGCGCCATGGAGGCGCGCGGTCCTCCAGGCCTCCCAGAGCAGCGCAGCGGTCGTTTCCGGGGGCGGGGCCGGAACCGGAGCCTGCGCGCTAGGCGCCCTGCGCTCACCTTCGCGCTGTCCAGGCGAGTCGGTGAGGCGGCCCGGGGTGAGTTGGCTCCGGCTGCCGGGTGGGGACTGGAAGGGATGTGTGGTGTCCTCGGAGCCCGGCCCGGCAGAGGCTGTGGCCCCCGCAGGGACTGAGCGGAGCTCGGCAGGGAGCGGACCCGCAGCCGGCACTGCCGCCTCCACTCGCCTTGGATCCTGAATCCTCCTTAGGGCGAAGGGTCCTGCGTCCCGGTCCATGCCGGCTGTGGTCTGGGGCGTGCGGCGGGGGTCCCCCAGACCCGCTTCGCCGACCCGGACTGTTGTGCAGCGATGAGGCTGCAAGCAGGAGGCGGAGGCCTGGCGAGGTGGGGCTGCTCCGGGGAGCACCAGGCTCTGTCACGAGGCCTCCTCCCGCCGGCGCTTCCCCGCGATGCGGTTTCCCGCAGCCTTCTTTCCCCGGACGCAGTTTTACCCTATCCACGGGTTGGGGCATGAATTGTAATAGAGGTGAGACGTTAGTGTAGCAGGCAATAACGCAGCAAAATAACTTTTGGTTTTGACAAGGGCCACGCACAGCGTAAACCAAGGAGATAAAATTGTGAGAGGGTAGCTTTGGCGGTCAGGGCGGCTCTGAGAGCTAACAAACTGAAATCTGGGACATAGTGAGCAGGGTGCCCCAGGTCCCTGAGGAACAGCGTTTATTGTACGTATGCAGGGAGGTGACCCCTCCTAGTCTTCCAGACCCCAGTTAAATATTACTTCCCCCAGTAACATTTCGTGTGGTTCTCCATCTAAATGAGCACCCTCCTCCCCTTGACATTTTCTCTCTCAGCACTTGAAGCAACAACTTGATCTGTTGTCATATCACTGTGCGATTACCAGTGCTGTTTAATGTGACTGAAGATGTATTTCCTAATTCCAAAGATAGAACTAAAAGCAGGGTTTTTTTAACCCTCTAACCAGGACATGCACTCCCCGGACATGAACAAAGAAAAAACAACGGTAACTTACCCCTCCTAGTCCAACCCTAGTCCCAGGTTGCAGTTCTTACCACAGTGGAGGGTGGTACATGTTGAGAAGTCAGAGGGTCAAGTCTTCTGGCAGCCCCATACCCTGAGATACTCTGGTTGCCTTGGTGGGGTGAGGACAACATATGTGGCAATCGCACTCGCCCAGGTAGGTCCTGCAACAGACTGCCCTGGACAGACGTCGAGTGGGGGCTGGGTGGGGGGAAAACAGGTGGGCTCTGTTTTTCCATGCATTTGCAGTCCGAGCTCTTCGTTCATGGGTGACTCACGAGTCTGTCTGACCTTCCCGCATCACCCTTCATACCCTAATATGTCAAAAGGACTCTGCTGCCAAATATCACGTCACAGCATTGTGACTAAGCCGCCGTCCTGCTTCTAAACGCACACTTTATTTATTATTATTATTTATTTTGGGAGAGAGCCTCACTCTGTCACCCAGGCTGGAGTGTAGTGGCACAATCTTGGATGAATGAAACCTCTGTCTCCTGGGTTGAAGCAGTTCTTCTGCCTCAACCTCTCAAGTAACTGGGATTACAGGCATGTACCAGCACACCCGGCTAATTTTTGTATATTTAGTAGAGAAGGGGTTTCCCCGTGTTGGCGAGGCTTGTCTCGAACTCCTGGCTTCAGATGATCTGCCCTTCTCATTCTAAAGTGCTGGAATTACAGGCATTAGCCACCATGCCCAGCCTCTATAAACACGCACTTTTTGTCAACTGACGCCTAATGGGAAACGTTTCTTTACAAAGTGGCAGCTACTTAGAGGGCTCCAGCTGTACAGAAAAGGATACCCACAGAGACCTTCACTCAAACACAAGAGCTCAAGTGTCTGTTGAAGGGAAGAGTGAGGAGACCAGGGCCTCATGCCTACCCTGTATACATCTGGTTAAGGCAAAATTAGTTTTGTTTTGTTTGAGACAGGGTCTTGCTCTGTTGCCCAGACTGGAGTGTGGTGGCATGATCTCAGTTCACTGCAACCTCTGCCTCCTGGCTTAAGGGATCCTCCTACGATGGCCAAGGTCACACCATTGTACTCCGGTCTGGGCAGCAAAAGGGAGATTCTCAAAAAACAAAACAAAACAAAAAAAACTTAAATTAGAAAAACAGAGGCCGAATGCGGTAGCTCACACCTGTAATCCCAGAACTTTGGGGAGACTGAGGCAGGAGGATCACTTGAGTCCAGGAATTCAAGACCAGCCTGGGCAACATAGTGAGACCTCATCTCTAATAAAAATTTAAAAGTATTAGCTGGGCCGTTCCAAAGCATCTGTGAGCCTGCAAAGTAGCCATGAAAAGCTCACTATCCCAAGTTGAAAAAATTTTTGGACAAGAAGTTATCATTGAAATTAAATGGTGGCAGACATGTCCAAGGAATATTGTGGGGATTTGATCCCTTTATGAATCTTGTGATAGATGAATGTGTGGAGATGGCGACTAGTGAGCAACAGAAAAATATTGGAATGGTGGTAATCCGAGGAAATAGTATCATCATGTTAAGCCTTGGAACCAGTATAAATAATGGCTGTTCAGCAGAGAAACCCATGTATTCTCTCCATAGGGCCTGTTTTACTATGATGTGAAAATTAGGTCATGTACATTTCATATTAGACTTTTTTTTTTTTTGAGTTTCGCTCTTGTTACCAGGCTGGAGTGCAATGGCACGATCTCGGCTCACCGCAACCTCCACCTCCTGGGTTCAGGCAATTCTCCTGCCTCAGCCTCCCGAGTAGCTGGGATTACAGGCACGCGCCACCGTGCCCAGCTAATTTTTTGTATTTTTAGTGGAGACAGAGTTTCACCATGTTGACCAGGATAGTCTCGATCTCTTGATCTCGTGATCCACCCGCCTCGGCCTCCCAAAGTGCTGGGACTACAGGCGTGAACCACCGCGCCCGGCCGCTTTTTTTTTTTTTTTTTTAAGATGGGGTTTCACCGTGTTAGTCAGGCTGGTCTTGAACTCCCAACCTGAGGTGATCAGCTCTCCTTGGCCTCCAAAGTGCTTGGATTACAGGCGTGAGCCACCGCGCCTGGCCTAGACTTTTTGTTAAATAAACTTTTGTAATAGTTAAAAAAAAAAAAATTAGCTGAGTGTGGTGGCATGCACCTCCAGCTACTCAGGAGGCTGAGGTAAGGGAATTGCTTGAGCCCAGAAAGTTGAGGCTGCAGTGAGCCGAGATCACACCACTGCACTCCAGCGAGACCCTGTCTCAAAAAAAGAAAAGAAATATAGGAGAAAAACAGGAACCACGGTCATTCTGTGACCCAGAGAGAACTAGGATTTTATGCTACCAGGTTTATTTTTCTGGTTAGTCTGCTTGTTTCATGTAGCAAAATGCAAGAATGTTTTCTGATGTTCCCACAACATGGTTTTATTGGTTGCAGAGTCACCTATTGTCAGGGATCCCTTTGTTCATTTCATGAATCCTTTCTGAGCACTTGCTGTGTGCCACACCCATCCTCAGGCCCCGGAGGTACAGACCAGAGGCTTTGTGTAATTGGAGAAGGCAGATAAGGAGCAAGGAATTTAACTTGTCTTATGTCAGATGGCATAGTACTATGGAGAAAAATAAAACAAGGAATGAGGATAAGGAATTACCAGGCAGTAGGGGAGGTGGCAGTTTTTAAAAAGCTGGTCACAGAAGGCCTCTCTGGACAGTGACAGCTAGCAAACAGAGGAGTGGGCGGGCAGGTCTTGGGTGCAGCCTTTCCTTGAGACACAAAGGAGGTGGCCCATGTAGTTGCCGCAGCATCTCACCCTCTCTGCTCCCTTCTGGATCTGGTGGGGCCTTTTAGGGGCAGGGCCTTAGGTCTGGACTCCTTCCACTTACAGCTGTATGTTCCCTCAGCATGCACTGTCTCTAGCACCTGCTCCTCCACAAAGGGTACCCTGGAATGGTGATGGCACTTCCGATGCCCGGACCCCAGGTGAGCACCCCCTCTGAGCCTGTTTGCTGCCCCAGGAGACTGCTTCGCTTCAGCTTCAGCTTTTCAGCTCTGAGAACCTTCCAGGGAGCCTCACACCTACCCACATCACAAGATGGAGTCTGCAAGCCAAGGACGGCCTCCTTCCTCTATGGCCAGGCCTCACACATGGCTCTACTAAATCCTCCTGGCTTTGGGCAGAAGTGGGCTTCCTGGGGCCCTTGAGCTTCTGTGCTCAGCCACTGAGGGCTAGGTCTCTGTCCTTTCCCAGTGCTGGTCTCCTTCCTGGTGTGAATAGTCAGCCCATCCCCCCCCCCCCCATGCTGATTTGCTGCTGGTGTTGGAAATTGAGACCCAGAGAGTGGGGATGCCCCCACCAGTGCAGGCGCTCCTTCCCCAAATCCCTGATAGCCTGTGGAGAGGGGTGAGGCCAAGGTTGGGACCTCTTTCCTAGTAACTCTTTCTCTCCTTCCCCCAAATTCAGTTTTCCCCTCTTCCTCTGGGGTTTCTGCTGAGGACGAGGCTGCTCATTCAGGGGGTGTTGGGCTGCCCTGTCTCTGCTGGGCCCTGTGAATGCAGTAATGCCCAGCAAGGAGAGAGGCCTCTAGCAGATCACCCAAATGTTCCTCATCTGCTGAGTTCTCGCTGAGCCCTTGATTGACTGTCTGGATAGCAGAGTATGTGGTTGCAGGAGGCTGTTGTGTTCGAGGATGTGGCTGTGTACTTCACGAGGATAGAGTGGAGTTGCCTGGCCCCCGACCAGCAGGTACTCTACAGGGACGTGATGCTGGAGAACTATAGGAACTTGGCCTCGCTAGGTGAGGGCTTCTGCCTTTGGTCCTGGGGCCGGGAGGTGCTTCTATGTTAGGTTCAAAGGGAAGTTGGTTCCATTTCAGATTCACAGTCTGACACATTTTTGAGGGGAAGCTGGAGGCTCCGCAAGGAGCCCTTCTCTGCTTCCTGCTGGGCACCTACTGCCCAGCCTTAGTTCTCTCCTGGGGCAGGCCCCCCCCACCTCCCGTCGGCCACCTAGCTGCCCCCTTATGGGATAGAGGATGTTCCTGCCCCCACTCCAAGCCCTTGTGCTCCGGATGGCCTCCAACCAGCGTCCTCCCTCCTGTATCCACTCCAAGCCCTGTGTGCTCCCAATGGCCTCCAACCGGCGTCCTCCCTCCTGTATCCACTCCAAGCCCTGTGTGCTCCCAGTGGCCTCCAACCGGCATCCTCCCTCCTGTATCTACTCCAAGCCCTGTGTGCTCCCAGTGGCCTCCAGCCAGGCACCCAGGCATCCTTCCTCCCTTCTGCTCTGACACATGCTGCTTTCCCTCTCTGAGCTTAGGCTTTCTTGTTGCCAAACCAGCACTGATCTCCCTCTTGGAGCAAGGAGAGGAGCCAGGGGCCTTGATTCTGCAGGTGGCTGAACAGAGAGGGGCCAAAACCAGCCTGTGCACAGGTAAGTACAAGGCCCTGGAAGGCGTGGGCTGCTCCCACACTGCAGGGCATGTTGTGTGGCTGCCAATGTGGCCTGGCCTCTGTGCAGCTCTGTGCAGGTCCCCTCTTTGACAGTGGGAGGTGTGTGTGTGTGTGTTTAGCTCCTCACAACAGAGCCAGATTTACCACTAAATGCCTTGCTTGTAGTTCTAAGGTCAAAAGTAACTTAAGCATGAAGACCCAAGTGTATTAGTTTTCCACCTTGGTGTCCCCAAGGTGTCAGGGGCTTGGTCTGTGCACACAGTGGGCACTACCCTTGGGTTGCTTTGATTTTCTCAGTTGCTCATGACCCATGTGCCAGGGACTGAGCTCAGGGCAGTGGAGGCTGCAGAAAGAACCTTGAGCTGGGGAGGAGTCCCCCAGTCCTAGAGGTCTGTGCAGGCACCTGCTCTAGGCACATACCCAGATATATTTGCTGAGTGAATGAACCCTGGGTGAACTCTATAGGAGAGAGGAGTAAAGAAAGTGGCTGTGGGATGAGGTGCAACCTGAATCTCCTGCCTGGCCTGTCTTCGCTGCCAGACCTTGGGCCTCTCCTGTGGGCTCCCCCTGAGCCAGCCTGCCACAGTGCTGCAGCCATTATTAGCCTCTTTGTTCCCTTCTCACCTCAACTCTGATTTTATTTTTATTTAATTATTTTGAGATGGAGTTTTGCTCTTGTGGCCCAGGCTGGCGTGCAGTGGCACGGTTTCAGCTCACTGCAACCTCCGTCTCTCAGGTTCAAGTGATTCTCCTGCCTCAGCCTCCCAAGTAGCTGGGATTATAGGCACCCACCACCATGCCCGGCTGATTTTCATATTTTTAATAGAGATGGGTTTTGACCATGTTGGCCAGGCTGGTCTCTAACTCCTGACCTCAGGTGATCTGCCCACCTCAGCCTCCCGAAGTGCTGGGATTACAGGCGTGAGCCACTGTGCCCAGCCTAAATCTGATTTTAAAACTTCTGGCAATAATTTGTCAAACCTCCCTACACCTCTAACAAAGACTGTCTTCACTTGATTGTGGTATCATTTCAGTGTAGATATTTATTGAATCATGGTGTACAACAAAAGTATATGCAAGTTTTGTTTTTTGTTTTGTTTTTTGAGACAGAGTCTCTCTGTCTCCCAGGCTAAAGTGCAGTGGCGCAATCTCGGCTTACTGCAACCTCCCCCTCCTGGGTTCAAGTGATTCTCCTGCCTCAGCATCCTGAGTGGCTGGGACTACAAACACACGCCATCACACCTAGCTAATTTTTATAATTTTTTAGTAGAGATGGGGTTTCACTGTATTGGTCAGGCTGGTCTTGAATTCCTGACCTCAGTTGATGGACCTGCCTCAGCCTCCCGAAGTGCTAGGATTACAGGCGTGAGCCACCAGGCATGGCCTAGGGTTTTTGTTTTGTTTTGTTTTTTGAGACAGAGTCTCACTGTTTGGCCCAGGCTGGAGTACGGTGGCTCGATCTCAGCTCACTGCAACCTCAGGCTCCCGGGTTTAAGTAATTCTGCTGCCTCAGCCTCCTGTATACAAGTTTTATTTGTCATTTATACCTCAGTAAACCTGGGTGTGGGGGTAAGACTTGGCGATAAAAAGGTTCTGTCTTCAAACAGTAAGTTCGTTTGTGAGTATAGAGGCTGGATCATCCTTCCGTTTTCTGTTCCTTCTCTCAGATTCTAGGATGGAGGCCGGGATCATGGAGTCTTCTCTGCAGAGAAAGCTCTCCAGGCAGGCAGGACTCTCAGGCACGGTGTGGAGGTGCCTCCCTGAGGAGGACCCCGCACCACCCCACCCGCATAGTGGTCCTGAGGAAGGGTCAGAGAAGCAAACCCCCACTCCGGAGCGCAGCGCCTCCCCAGGGCTTCTGCAAGAAGACCTGGGCCGGCCCATAGGGAGCTCAGCTCCGCGCTACAGGTGCGGGTGCGGCAAAGCGTTCAGATACAACTCCCTGCTGCTCAGGCACCAGATCATCCACACTGGCGCCAAGCCCTTCCAGTGCACGGAGTGCGGGAAGGCCTTCAAGCAGAGCTCCATCCTGCTGCGGCACCAGCTGATCCACACCGAGGAGAAGCCGTTCCAGTGCAGCGAGTGCGGCAAGGCCTTCCGGCAGAGCACGCAGCTGGCTGCCCACCACCGCGTCCACACCCACGAGCGGCCTTACGCGTGCAACGAGTGCAGCAAGACCTTCAGCCGCAGCTCCCGGCTGCTGCAGCACCAGAAGTTCCACACCGGGGAGAAGGCCTACGAGTGCGGCGAGTGCGGCAAGGCCTTCTGCCGCAGGTTCACCCTCAACGAGCATGGCCGCATCCACAGCGGGGAGCGGCCCTACCGGTGCCTGCAGTGCGGGCAGCGCTTCATCCGGGGGTCCTCGCTCCTGAAGCACCACCGCCTGCATGCCGAGGAGGGTCCCCAGGATGGCGGCGCGGGGCAGGGAGCCCTGCTCGGAGTGGCACAGAGGCCACAGGCGGGGGGCCGGTCCTACGAGTGCCCGGCGTGCAGGAAGCCGTTCCGACACCACTCCCTGCTGCTGCTGCACCTGCACCTGCACACTGGCGAGAAGCCATTCGTGTGCGCAGAGTGCGGCAAGGCCTTTGGTCGCAAGTCCAACCTCACTCTGCACCAGAAAATCCACACCAAGGAGAAGCCCTTCGCGTGCACCGAGTGTGGCAAGGCCTTCCGCAGGAGCTACACGCTGAACGAACACTACCGGCTCCACAGCGGCGAGAGGCCATACCAATGCCGCTCCTGCGGGAGGGCCTGCAGCCGCCTGTCCACCCTCATCCAGCACCAGAAGGTGCATGGCCACGAGCAGCGGGAGGACATGGAGGGCAGGCGGGCGCCTCGCTGGGCTTCCTGATGACTGGGACAACAGTCCGAGGATTCACACGGGAAGCCTGCACAAGCGGGCGCGGCCCTAGCGCAGAAATTCGAATCCCACGTCCTGAAGGTGCAGCAGAGTCTTGAGAAGGGGCCAGCTCTCACCCGGAGCGCTCGGCCTCTTGCTCCAGCTGGTCAGTGGGGAGGGAAAGGGCACCTAGTGGCCCATGGTGTGGCCTCAGGAATCAGCATCAGCCACCATTTCCTGGGACCTCTGGGAAACGTCCAGGAGCTGGCAGAGAAGTGAGGGAGGGAGGGGCAGCTGTGCTCAATCCCCAAAGAGCAGAGCAAAGGGGACGCCATAGACATTCATGCAGCCTGGCACAGCCAGGTTTTCTCAGCACCAGGCCCTGCGTGGTGGTAAATTTCAGGTGGTGTAAAGCTGACTCAGGATAGAAGATGCCATGTGTCCTGCCTGTAATCTCATCACTTTGGGAGGCCAAGGCAGGAGGTTTGCTTGAGACCAGCCTGGGCAACATAGTGAAACTTCTCTACAAAAAATTAAAAAATTAGCCAGGCATGGTGGCATGTGCTTCTAGGTTGTAGTCCCAGCTACTTGGGAGGCTGAAGTGGGAGGATGGGTTGAGCCTGGGAGGTCAAGGCTGCAGTGAGCTATGACAGCACCACTGCACTCTAGCCTGGGTGACAGAGTGAGACCCTGGTTTTTTTGTTTGTTTGTTTGTTTTTTTTAAAGAAAACCCTCAAAAAGAAAAGAAAGAACAGCCTCAATGGCTGGTGGGGCATTTATTTATTTATTTGAGACAGGATATCTGTGTCAGTCAGCCTGGAGTGCAGTGGCTCAGTCGTGGCTTACTGCAGCCTTGCACTCCCAGGCTCAAGAGTTTCTCCCACCTCAGCCTCCTGCATAGCTAGGACTAAGGTACACACCACTGCATCTGGCAGCTGGTGAAGCATTGTTTCTGAGTGTGTGAGGGTGTTTTGTTGGACTTGGTGAAGATCTGCTCTCAGTGTGGTCAAGCACATCCAGTTGGTTGGGGGCCCAGATGGAACACAGAAGAGCAAATTTTCTCTCATCTGGAGGGAGACACCCATCTTCCCTTGTCCTTGGACAGTAGGACTCTAGGTTCCTCCACCTTTGGACTCAAGACTTGCCACAGAGGCCTCCCAGGGCTCTCGAGCAGTCAGCCTCAGAATGAGAGTTAAACCACTGGCTTCCTTGGTTCTCCCATATTCTTACCTGGACTGAGCCACACTAATGGCTTCTCTGGGTCTCCAGCTTACAGACAGCCTGTGAGAGAATTTCTCAGCCTCCATAAGTATGTGGACCAATTCCCCTAATAAATCCACTTTTCTGGCTGGGCTCGGTGGCTCAAGCCTGTAATCCCAGCATTTGGGGAGGCAGAGGTGGGCGGATCACCTGAGGTCAGGAGTTTGAGACCAGCCTGGGTGAAACCCTGTCTCTATTAAAAATACAAAAATTATCCGGGCATGGTGGTGGCTGCCTGTAATTCCAGCTACTTGGGAGGCTGAGGCAGGAGAATCACTTGAACCTGAGAAGTGGAGGTTGCAGTGAGCCGAGATCGCACCACTGCACTCCAACCTGGGTGACAGAGCAAGACACTGCCTCCAAAAAAATAAAAGAAATCCCCTCTCCTAAACTCCATTATTGGTTCTGTCTCTCTAGAGAACCATACTACATTCTGCCCTGCAGAAGCCAGGAAGAAAGCCCTGCCAGCTCAGAAGGTGGGCCAAGAGAGAAGGGGTGTGGCCAGAGGGAGAGCTGGTTGAGGCGCTGCATCCTCTTGGCCACACTGGGAGCACCTTGTCACCCCTAACAGATGAAGAGAAGGTGAGGGAGGATTGAGTTGTTGGCCCACTGGTGTGTCAGACTCCATGGTGGCGGTGGGAACATGCAGGCCTGGCCCCTCCAAGGCCCAGTGATCCCTTGGCTGTGCACCCCACCGCCTGTGCCTGGGGCTGCAGAAGGAGCCAGGAGAAGCCTGGCCCTGGCAGGGCACCAAGACGGGGAGGGCTGGATCCACCTCTCCAGAGAACAAGAACCCCGGGCAGTGGCACGGACTTGGGGGAGGCTGAAGGCTTATTCCTCAGCATCCCCAACAGGGAGCTTGTAAGTCTCCACCATGGGCAGAAAAGTATGAAGTTCAGGGCCAGCCTGGGAAACCAAGAGCTGTGCCAAGATCCCTTTCACCTGGGGCAGCTGCCCACATACCTGTCACTGGGTCCCATTGCCCGAAACTCCCAGCAGGTGCCTCTCCGAGTCTTTGCCCTGTGCTGGAAACGGATGTGCAGCATGCACCCTTCACACCTACACCACAGACAGCAGGAATAACATCTTTGGGGATCCGCTGTTGCTGGTGTCCAAGTATTTCAGGTGTCACCATGTTCCCTCATCCAGGCATCAGCACCCAAGGTGGAAGCAGGTCATGGCATGCCTGGCCCAGCCACAGGCTGAGTGCAGATCCTGTGGCGAGTGTGGGATCCAGCCCAAAGCACAAGCTAAGTGCAGTCCCCCAGGTCGAGTGGGCAGGGACGTTGCCAGCTGTGGAGGTCTCCAGCTGCCAAAGTGGCACTGAAAGAGTCTTGCGACATAACTGGACTCACCTGCAGCTTCTGTTGCTCTCCCTAGCTATTCCCAAAGCATCTAGGATAGGTCCACCTCTTACGACATTTTAATGACAATCCATTTACTCTGGATCCTGTTCACAGAACCTGGACTCCGGCTCACCTTCCCAGACCCCTTACTGCTGGGTCATGTTCACAAGTTTCTCTGTCTCTTTGTTCCCGCTCCCTGTACCAGTTCAGGTCCACTCAGCTTCTGAACCTCTATTGTGCAGCACCTGAGACAAGGTGGGGAGAGACCACCAACAGTAAGCTCAGCCAGGTGCAGACTGGAAGCAAAGGCAGTGCCACCCTGTTTCGGGGCATTTCTGGTCACTCTACTCTGCTGGGAGGGTTTTGTGTCTCACCAGGAGACTCAAGCATACGTTTGGGCTGCTACTTTCTTTCTTCCTGTTCGGTGGATTCCCTCCACCGTGACCCAGACCCAACACCTCAGCCTTCTCAAAGCTGCACTGCAGCAGTTTTAGCCAGAGCCACCAGGTAAGATAGAAATAAGGAAGCCAAATTGTCCTTGTTTGCATTCAACAATATTTTATAAATAGAAAACCTTGGGCTGGGCGCAGTGGCTCAAGCCTGTAATCCCAGCACTTTGGGAGGCCGAGGTGGGTGGATCATGAGGTCAAGAGATCAAGACCATCCTGGTCAACATGGTGAAACCCCGTCTCTACTAAAGATACAAAAAATTAGCTGGGCATGGTGGCGCGTGCCTGTAATCCCAGCTACTCAGGAGGCTGAGGCATGAGAATTGCCTGAACCCAGGAGGCAGAGGTTGCGGTGAGCTGAGATCGCACCATTGCACTCCAGCCTGGGTAACAAAAGCGAAACTCCGTCTCAAAAAAAAGGGAAAGCCCTAAAAGCTTTATCAAAACATTCTTTAGAATAAACAAAGTAAAGTTGCAGGATGCAAAATTAACATACCAAAACCAGTAGCATTTCTACATACCAACCACAAACTACCAAAAAAAGAAACCAAGAAAACAATTCCACTTATAATAGCTAACAAAAACAGAAGCTGGGAATACATTTAACCAATGAGGGAAACTAAAACTGATGAAAGAAATTAAATAGGGCACACACCAAATGGAATGCCATCCCATGTTGGTGGATTGGGATAATTAATTTGGTGGAAATGACAGTACCACCAAAAATAATTTACAGATTAAATGCAATCACAGCAATAGGGAAAAACAGTCCTGAAATTCACATAAAACCACAGAAGACGCTAAACAGCCCAAATCAATCCTGAGCAAAAAGAATAAAACTAGGCTGGGCATGGTGGCTCACATTTGTAATTCCAGCACTTTGGGAGGCCGAGGTGGGCGGATCAGCTGAGGTTGGGAGTTTGAGACCAGCCTGACCAACATGGTGAAACCCCATCTTTACTAAAAATACAAAATTAGCTGGGCGTGGTGGTACATGCCTGTAATCCCAGCTACTCAGGCTGAGGAAGGAGAACTGCTTGAACCGAGGAGGTAGAGGTTGCGGTGAACTGAGATCATACCATTGCGCTCCAGCCTGGGCAACAAAAGCAAAATTCCATCTCAAAAACAAAACAAAAAAAAAAACCAAAGCTGAAGGCATAACACTACTTAACTTCAAAATATAGTACAAACTTGTCCCGGTGCAGTGGTTCACGCCTGTAATCCCAGCACTTTGAGGGGCCGAGGTAGGCAGATCACGAGGTCAAGAGATCAAGACCATCCTGGCCAACATGATGAAACCCCGTCTCTACTAAAAAATACAAAAATTAGCTGGGTGTGGTGGCACGCGCCTGTAGTCTCAGCTACTCAGGAAGCTGAGGAAGGAGAATTGCTTGAACCTGGGAGGCAGAGGCTGCAGTGAGCCGAGACCAGACCACTGCACTCCAGCCTGGCGACAGAGCGAGACTCGGTCTCAAAAAAAAAAAAAATATATATATATATATATATATATATATATTTTGGGAGGCCAAGGTGGGCCGATCACATGAGGCCAGGAATTCAAGACTAGCCTGGCCAACACAGCAAAACAACATTTCTACTAAAAATGCAAAAATCAGCCTGGTGTAGTGGTGCACACCTGTGATCCCAGCTACTTGGGAGGCTGAGGTGGGAGGATGTCTTGAACCCAGGGGCAGAGTTTGAAGTGAGCCAAGGTCGTGCCACTGTACTCCTGTCTTGAAAAAAAAAACCCACAAAACCCAGCATGTAATAATCCCACCCCCAAAACAAACAAAACCCAGCATGTTACTAACATTAAAAATAGACACATAGATCAATGGAGCAAAATAGAGAACCCAGAAATAATTCCATATATTAGTGAACTGATTTTTAACAAAGGTGCCAAGAATATTCACTGGGGAAAGGGCAGTGAATGGTGCTGGAAAAACTGGAAATACATTTTGAGGATATGCAGAAAAATGAAACTAGAACCCTATCATGTCTGGGCACAGTGGCTCACGCCTGTAATCCCAGCACTTTGGGAGGCCCAGCTGGGCAGATCTCTGAGGTCAGGAGTTTGAGAAAATCCTAGCCAACATGGTAAAACACTACTTCTACTAAAAATACAAAAATTAGGCCCGGCGCGGTGGCTCACGCCTGTAATCCCAGCACTTTGGGAGGCCGAGGTGGGTGGATCGCGAGGTCAAGAGATTGAGACCAGCCTGGTCAACAAGGTGAAACCCCAACTCTACTAAAAATACAAAAATTAGCTGGGCATGGTGGTGCGTGCCTATAATCCCAGCTACTCAGGAGGCTGAGGCAGGAGAATCGCTTGAACCCAGGAGGCGAAAGTTGCGGTGAGCCGAGATCATGCCATTGCATTCCAGTCTGGGTAACAACAGCGAGACTCCGTCTCAAAAAATAAATAAATAAATAAAAATTAGCCGGGTGTGGTGGCACACGCTTGTAAACCCAGTTACTCAGGAGGCCAAGACAGGAGAATCGCTTGATCCTGGGAGGTGGAGATTGCAGTGAGCCGAGATCATGCCACCACACTCCAGCCTGGGCGACAGAGCTAGACACTGTCTAAAAACAAACAGGCCAGACGCGGTGGCCCAAGCCTGTAATCCCAGCACTTTGGGAGGCCGAGGCAGGTAGATCACGAGGTCAAGAGATCGAGACCATCCTAGTCAACATGGTGAAACCCCATCTCTACTAAAAATACAAAAAATTAGCTGGGCATGTTGGCGCCTGCCTGTAATCCCAGTTACTCAGGAGGCTGAGGCAGGAGAATTGCCTGAACCCAGGAGGCGGAGGTTGCGGTGAGCCGAGATCACGCCGTTGCACTCCAGCCTGGGTAACGAGCGAAACTCCATCTCAAACAAACAAACAAGCAGGCCGGGCGCAGTGGCCAGTGGCTTACACCTGTAATCCTAGCATTTTGGGAGGCCGAGGCGGATGGATCACCTGAGGTCAGGAGTTTGAGAGCAGCCTGGCCAACATGGCAAAACCCTGTCTCCACTAAAAATACAAAAATTAGCTGGGCTTGGTGGCATGCGCCTGTAATCCCAGCTACTTGGGAGGCTAAGGCAGGAGAATTGCTTGAACCCAGGGGTGGGTGCAGGTTGCAGAGAGCTGAGATCGTGCCACCTCACTCCAGCCTAAGTGAAAGAGTGAGATTGTCTAAAAAAACAAAAAAACTCTCTTTCACCATATACAGAAATCAAATCAAAATGGATTAAAGATTAAAGACATAAGTGTAAGACCTGAAACTATGAAATGACTAGAAGAAAACATTGGGGAAATGCTTCAGGACATTGGTCTGGAAAAGATTTTTTGGGTAAGATCTCAAAAGCATGGGCAACAGCCGGGCGCGGTGGCTCAACGCATGTAATCCCAGCACTTTGGGAGGCCGAGGTGGGTGGATCACAAGGTCAGGAGTTCAAGACCAGTCTGGCCAATGTGAAACCCCACCTCATTTAAAAAAAAAAAAAAGGCCAGACATGGTGGCTCACGCCTATAAAATCCCAGCACTTTGGGAGGCCGTGGCGGGTGGATCACGAGGTCAAGAGATCGAGACCATCCTGGTCAACGAGGTG